GTTCATAGTATTTAATACAATAGACAAACCGTACAATTCTCTTGATCACACGATATATCCTACCTAAGATAAGAGAACTGACACCAGAGTAGACCTCAATACAGTAATTTATATGTGAGATTAACAGTGCGTGGGGTAGGGTAAATTTAACTTTTGTGGGGAAGTATATAACAAAGGGGTATAGTCATCTGAGTGCAAAAGTTAAACGAGATGAAACAATATCAATCTGTTCATCAAATTCCAGAAATTGGTCCATTACCACACCAAGACATTTAATAGAATCAACATAGTCAATTTGTTTGTTGCATAATTCAATTTTCGGATAAGTGTAATTTCTACGAGCTGTGCGAAACATTATAGCCTTGGTCTTAACAGTATTTACTACAAAAGAGTTAAGCATCATCCAATCATACAGACTATCAAGAGTAAATTTTATAATGGCCTCCAAAACATCAGGAAACTCCCTGGAGCCACCAAACAAAAGTTGTATATCGTCGGCATAAATGGTGTTACAAAGTTCGAATCAGAACATTCAGTGCATTCATTCATGTATAAAAGAAACAGAATAGGTCCAATAATAGATCCCTGTGGGACTTCACATGTAATATTGACAATGTCCGAATAGATTTCTTGTACACTAACATATTGAGACCTTCCTTGTAAGTAAGAATTAATAAGTCTACAAGCCATTGCAGAGAACCTAAATTTTTCTCTTAACTTACGAATAAGAACTGAATGATCTAGACGGTCTAAAGCTTTAGAAAGATCTAAGGAAACCATGACACAACTCTTGTTTTTATTTAAGTAATCTCTGATAGTTTCGGTTATACCTATAAGCATGCCAGTGGTATTGTGTCCTGTTTTGTATGCGTACTGAATATCACTAATGAGATTGTGTTGAGAAATATAATCAAGAAGGTAAAATGCTTATTGGCCTAAATTCAGTAGCGGAGTCTCTTTTAGGTACAGGAACGACGCGGGAAAGTTTCCATTGTTGAGGGTAAGTAGATGCAGTAATTATCATATTAAATAAATGCAAAACAGGCTGTAAAATACATGGAAAAATAAGTTTAATAAATTTAATTGTAAACCCTTCAGTTCCAATGGAATTTGATTTAACTTTGCATAGGGCAAAAAGTAGTTCATCCGCGTATATGGGTTTCAATGAAAATCCGTCAGTATGTCCACTCAAAGATCCGAAATCAAATATGTACATTAGTAACATTATTATTTACAACAAAAGACCGATTCAAAGTCTTTATATCAATTTCTGAAAAGTTAGATACATTTCTGTTGCCACATCCCGCATTATTAAAAACTCGCCACATTTTTCTGTTGTCAGCATTATCAAAAATATTAATATAGTAAAGTCTTCTAAATTTTCGAATTAACGACTTCAACTTGTCTCTAAGAGCCAATCTTTAGGTGAAAGATTAGCGATTAAATTAAAATTAATCCTCGAAAGATGTTTTTGAGTACTCAATTAGTTAATTTTGTTTGCAAGTTTAAGCGCCCAATGGAGGTGGTTTAATCTTAAGCACGAAATGCAAAAGTGTAAACAGCTGATGCAAAAAAATTAATAAAATTTTTATAAATATAAACATTAAAATGTTCTATTTATTGATTAGTATAAATTATGGACACTTCAAAATACATTTTTTGTTTTTAATTTAAGTTTTCATATTAAATTTACAATTGTCTTCTTCTTTTTTATAAAATATGCATTGTTTTGATAACAAACAGTGACGTTTTCTGTTGTTTTGTATGGCAACACTGCGAAGTTTAATCTTGTACTCAAAAACATCAAAGGGGATTAACATAAGATTAAATTTATTTTTAGATTAACTAATCTGATTATTAATTGGCATTTGATTACCACTTCAAAAACCCGCTTAGGCGACAGTAAATTATGCGATCATCATCTCTAAAATTTCTGTAAGCACGATTTCTAAGAGACCTAGCTACAATAGCTTCTCTCTTTCTCATCCATGGATCTTTTTTCCTCTTAATTTTAAATCTAATGATCGGAACAAACTGATACAATTCGGACAGAAGAGAGTTTAAAATATTTAGTTTATAATTTACAGAATTATTATTGTAAAATGAGAAAAAGTTAAATTGATCCACATGAGTTCTAATGATATTGATGTCAGTATCATCAAACTTTCTGTATTCGATGATTCGATGATTCTAGATGTGGTGAATGGCAATGAAATGTAAATTAAGGCATGATGACTGCAGAAACGGAACTGACGCCTGACCAGATAAGGAATTGTTACATTGACCACCAAAGTTAAAGTCACCCATTATCATTATATTTTCGTACTGAGAAAATATTTCTCCAAGCGTATCTTCCAATGCATTAAGATCTCCAGTGGGAAGATAAATAGTACCTATTAAAATAGAAGTGTTGTGACTCATAACTTCAATTAAAATAGCTTCACATAAATTATACGCATTGGAAGAGAAGACATGGCTACACTTTATCCTATTCGACACTAAGAGACCAACCCCGGTCGATCATTTCTATATAACGTATATCCTGGTACATGTAATGATTCATTAGGCATGTCTGGTTTGAGCCACGTTTCAGAAAGACTAATTACAAGTACGTTGGAATTAGTTAATAAATCACTTAGTTCATCAATTTTAGCATACTGTGATAGAGGATTAATGCTTTGACAATTTACATAGCAAATGTTTATATGATTATCACAATGGGTAAATATTCGCCCTAAAATAGCGCCATCACTGATAATGGGTCCCATATTACTATTATGGGACATCATGTAGAGAACTATAACAACCAACATCAATATCAAGAAAGAAAAAGTCTACAAATCTATCAAACATATTTTAGTGAAATACATAATTTAGGTAATATAGGAAAATGTGTCTAAAAAAAGAAATTATCATAAAAACAAGTTTTCTCAAAAATAAATATTCAATGATTGTATAAATAACAAATAAATAAATATATGCGACGATTCCTAATAAAATCTTTATATTAACTTTCTTTAATTTGAATTCAAAATTTAAACATCAAAGTAAATAATGTTTTAATATTTTTTATTTTAAATAAAATGTTATAAAGCTTCGTCACATATGTATGCATGTTAACACACTTAATTTAAAACAAGTAGGAAAGTATAGTCGGGCATGGCCGACCATATAATACCCTACACCATGAGTATATTTTAAAAATTTAAATTTTTCACAAAGAAACTTTTATGTTGAATTTTACCTTAATTCCAAAGTATTTAAGCAATTTATTGATAAAAAACAAATTTTCTAAATGAGGCTTTATATAGGAGTATAGGTCAAACATGGGCCGATCCTCATTAAATTTGGGAAAAGGATATATTGTTAAATAATAGTTAATTATGTTGAGTTTCATTGCGATACAAATGGTTACAAGTCAGTTTTAGACGTTTAAGACATTTTTTGAAGGGGGGTTTGTATGGGGGCTAGGGTCATTACGAAAATCTGCAGTGTAATTTATACTTATATAAAACTTATTTGTGCCAATTTTTAGAGAGATAATAGCATATTTGACGTAATTATGGCATAAAAAGCCCAAATCAGGAGGTACGGTTGTATGGGGGCTAGGTGAAATAATGGACCGATTTCAACCATTTTCAATAGGCTTCGTCCTTGTGCCAAAAAACATGCCTGGTCCAAATTTCATCAAATTATCTTGAAAAATGCGGCCTGTACCTTGCGCACAAGGTTTACATGGACAGCCAGCCAGCCGGACAGACGGACGGACGGACATGTCTTCATCGACTCAAAATGTGATTCTGAGTCGATCGGTATACTTAAAGGTGGGTGTAACATTTTTGTGTGTTACAAACATCAGCACAAACGTATAATACCCTCCCCACTATAGTGGTGTAGGGTATAATTAGGGTATATGTATATAAAATTTAATTGTACATAAGATCAGTGTAGAATTTCTAGACATTTCAAGCACTAATTAAAAATTAGCAGTTTGAAAGACATACAATTATTTTATATTCATGTTATTTAAGATATTTTGAAAGTGAGACTCGATTCAGCTGTCAGGTTCCATATATTCAATAAATTGCTGATAAAACTAACTTAAATGCGAAAAATCTAAGCAAAAAGTTATTTAATTTTCAGAAATACATTTCTATTTAAATTTTTTCGAAAGAAATGAAAAACAAATATTTTTCAAATATCGTTAGCTTAGTACGCAAACGTAACAAGTCTACTTTTTATAGAAATTAAGATTTTAATGCAGAATGGTAGTATAACTTGAAATACACAAGTTACAATAAAAAAAATCCTTATTTTTACTTTCAACATGTACTAAGTCCTCAAAACAATAAAAATATACAAAGAAAAAGTACTAAGTCCTTACAATTTGCTATTATAAACGCATTAATTAGTCATGTAAAAAGAAATAACAAGCATTTTGTACATCAACGTCTAGGAAATAGTTGTAGTTTGTAAAATCGATTCGATTGAATAAGAAATCATAGAATACTTTTTAAAGTAAAATAAAACAAGTAAATATTGCCAAAAAAAAACTGATTTTATTTAAGAGGGATGATATAGAGTATAGCGTAAATTATGGACTGAATCTCATAGTAGTTAGTACGGAAATTTTGATTCCTATAAAACTTATTAACGTTGAATTGCATTGCTATACTGATATTTTAATCCAGTTGTGCGCTTTAATATCGTTGGGAGTAGGGTCAAACATTCGGAAGGGTCAAACATATGGAAGCTATGGTCAAATATGGACCGATACTCATAAAAATTAAAATTAAGTTCACTAAAGTTTTGTCTATATAGAATTTCAAAGCTTACTGATGCATTTATGAGCGTTTTTTAAAATTTGTTATTTTACAAAATACATTTTTATTTGTAGTTTTCTTTTAGATTTTAATTTAGAAGTCAATTTTTATTCATTTTTCACCATAATTTTCTTTATAATCCATTTTCTTCGAAATTGAAAATAAACCAAAAAAAAATAGTTCTCATAATACATGAATGAAAATTGTCCAATACATTTTGACAACAAATTTGATTTTGTTTTAAAAACAATGAAACTCTTATATTAATACAAAGTATTGTAAAGTAAAACCCCTCAAGCGAAAAGTACTGTATGAATTTAACTTACATCGTCGTCGATTTCAATGCACTCATTTCTTTCAGTATGCTCCTGACTAATTGCAAACTTCAAAAGATCCTGAAAATTAATTCTTTCTATTATTAATTCATAAAATTACTACAATAAAAAACCTGCAAATTTTTTGGTGTTCGCTTGTCCATTTCAATACGACCGTTTATGTATTTATACAATACAATGTTTTATAAAAAAAAAAAATTTACACGTGCAAACTAATACCCGTTAACAAAAAAAATCTTTTGATAAAACAGCAAACCCTAACAGCTGTTTTCGATTGTTGTGTGGTGAGTTTCTATAAAAATATAAACAAAAACAAAATACATGACAAATTTATTTTGTGTTTACCCCATGTCTATATTAGACAAACATTTATTATACTAAACGTCAAATTGTTATCATGATACAAAATTAGCAGCATTTATTAGCGTTATAGCGTCGTTATGACAGTGTTGTCTAAACAATTGTTTAGACAACGTTGTCTTGATAACAAACGTCATTGTATTGTAAAATTTGTATAGAATTTTATTTTTGTCCAATTAAAATTGATTTTTAACATAAGTTTTAGTGAAATTAGTATTTATTTATATTTATTAGGTAAACGTCAAATTGTTATCATGATAAAAAATTAGCAGATACAGACGGAATTTATTAGCGTTATAACGTCGTTATGATAACAAAGGCCATTTTATTGTAAAATTTGTTTAAAATTTTATTTTTCTGCAATTAAAATTGATTTTTAACATAAGTTTTAGTGAAATTAGTGTTTATTTACAAAATTTGCATTTAATTTTAATTGTTTTTATAAAATATTTTCAATAAGATATCTGTGAGTTGTCGTGATAAAATCAACATTTTGTTACCCCTATGCATTAACATAAACAAAAAACTGACAATTTTCTGCCAACGTTTTGTCAAGTGCCGTGATAAATATTTGTCTAATATAGACACGCGGTTAGGGGTTAAGGCTCCGTTAGTTTGAAAGTTCCGTAACGTTTCCGTTCTGTGACGTTCCGTTGGCTGTTTATGTGTAGTCAGTTTCTACGTAAGAACGCTCTTTTAAGAATAAGCAAAAAATAAGCTCTTTTTAAGAATAAGCAAAAAAAGGCAACTTTGATTTGTTGTGTCAAAAATCAGAGTGGATTTTCTTTCTTTGTGTTTATAGATAAAGTAATATAATTTAATTAATATTGTTATAAATTAATTAATATTGTTATTAATATAATTATAAAAAGTAAAAATTTTTAGTTTCTTTCTTGGTCTTTTCTTATGGCGTATTTCATATTTCGGAGCTTTTTCTCTCTAACTTTTTAATTTTCGATTTTTTTATTTTTAAACTTCATCGCATTTAGTATGATAATTTTTTTAATAGATATTTACTAATTAAAAATGTACATTAATTTATATGTTTAATTTTTCAATTAATCATAATAATTACAATTTTCTGATGTACATAATTTTTAAAACTTTAAAAACACTGTTTTTTTTTCTTGTTAACATCTTTTTGAATTTTATGTCAGCTGTTTACAGCTGTCACATAACATTGCGGATTAAATTCTATTTTCTACAAGTTCATCTGCAACGTAACTTCAACGCTACGGCAAAACTAACGAATTACACAGGTTTTCGTAAGCCAAAAACGAATCAGCTGATTCATCACGCAGCGGAACGTAAAAACCAAAGGCTCAGTTAGTTGCGGATGAACCTGTAGAAAATAGAATTAGTAAATATTTATTAACAAAAATTATCATACTAAATGCTATTAGAAAATTTAAAAGTAAGAGAGAAAAAACTCTAAAATATGTCAAACGCATAATAGCCCCGTGTCTATATTAGACAAATATTTATTATGCAAAAAAAAAATAGCAGGTACAGACGGCATTTATTGCGTTATAACAGTGTCTAAACAATTGTTTAGCCATTGTTGTCTTGATAACAAACGTCACTTTATTGTAAAATTTTTTTAGAATTTTGTTTTTGTGCAATTAAAAATAATTTTTAACATACGTTTAGTGAAATTAGTGTTTATTTACAAAATTTGCATGTAATTTTAATTGTTTTTATAAAATATAGCATTATTTCAATAAAATTATCTGTGAGTTGTCGTGATAAAATCAGCATTTTGTTACCCCTATGCATTAACATAAACAAAAGACTGACAATTTTTCTGCCGGCGTTTTGTCAAGTGCCGTGATAAATATTTGTCTAATATAGACATGGGGTAAGAAACAAGTAAATGCTCACTTAGTTTCTACATTCCGTTCCGCGATGAATCAGCTGATTCCTTTTTGGCTTACGAAAACCTGTGTAAGTGGTTAGTTTTGCCGTAAGGTTGAAGCTACGTTGCGGATGAACCTGTAGAAAATAGATTTCAATCCGCAACGTTAAGTGACAGCTACAAACAGCTGACATAAAATACAAAAAAAAAAAATAAACAAGAAAAAATAGTGATGTTAATAATGTACATCCGAAAAATTTTATTTATTACTATTAATTGAAATATTTAATAATTAAACAAAAAAATTAATAATAATATTATAGTACATATTTATTAAAAAAGATATACTAAATGTTATGAACTTTAAAATTAAAAAAAAGCGAAAAATATAAACTAAGAGAGAAAAAACTCTGAAATATGTCAATGAAAATATAAGAATTGACATTAGTTTCAACATAAACGCCATAAGGAAAAAAAAAGAAAAGTCCAAGAAAGAAATTAAAAAAAATCGTGTTTAGTGTTTTTACTTTTTATAATTAATTTAATTATTAAAATTCGTTAAAAATTTATCTGTTAATCATTGGTCAAGAAGTTTGTAGATCGTTTTTTTTTTTAAATGGACGACGAGAAATTATTTTTTTTTAGTTGAACAAAATTATATTTTGTATAATAAATTTAACAAGGAATATAGATTGCCGGAAAAAATGATCGTGTGGACAAAAAAAAATTTCTTATATACCCTTTACCATGATGTGTTAAATAGAATAGCCAGTAAAAAATTAATTAAAAAAAATACCAGTTGTAAAACGAAAAAGTATCAGAAAGTCCCCTTTTATAGATTTTCGATCAATCAGGTTCCCTACAAGAACAGTGACAGTCATTTGATAGGTCATTTGACTGGCACTGCTGATGTATTATTTCTATCACAGCGTAAAGCAAAGTTTCTATCAGTTTCTTAAGGCAAATGGACAAAAGTGATGGAAACATTTGTGTACATGTGATTTTTCTTCTCCCTTGCACTTATGAATTCTATCGACTTTAAAACATATATTTGAGCTCCTCACTCTTTTGTTGTTTACTAACCAAGGATGACATAAATATTAGTCAGGATTGACTGATCATGCTTGATGGATATATCTATCACAGTTAACAAATTAAAAATGATGTAGTTTAGTTTAGTTTAGTTTAAAAGGGTTGTATATCAATGTATACATCCACTCGGAGACCCAATGGTCCATTGTGAATCCCTTTAATAAAGAACAAGGAGAAAACAGAAGAAAACAGAAGAAAGGAGAGATGAGAAGAGTGAGATTTTCCCTCCAAAAAGAGAACAGAAAAAAGAAGTGGTCATGGAAGGGAAATCCTTAATTGTCTATTAACTGAAAATCCAAAAAGTTCCCCTAATGAAGCCCATAATGTCGCCTAGGTTACACCCTGCTACATCTCCTAGTTCATCGTGGAATCCTTTACCTAGCCATTTCAGTCTCAGACTCTGTAATCTGGGACAGTGGCATAAAATATGCTCTACTGTCTCCAGTTCTTCTTCGTCCTCACACAACCTGCAAAAATCCTGTGTGTTACCGACCCCATTACCCCTAAAGGCTCCAATTGAGCAGTGTCCGGTTATTACCCCTACTAAAATCCTTGTACTCTTCCTGTCCAATCCTAATAGCATTCTGGTTGCTTTTGGATTTAACTTCGGCCATAGTGTCCTAGAAACCCTACAATCCAGTCTACTGTACCAGGATTGGTTGGTGGTTTTTCTGAAATATTCGGAAATTAGCCTATAGTAATGACAAATGGGGGGTTTTACCGAACTGACCCTTCTATCGAGCTCCAGATCCGAGCCCTGTCGGGCCAATTCATCTGCAATCTCATTACCCTGTATGTCACAGTGTCCCGGTACCCAACACAGCCTGAGTGTGTATAACCTGACTAACCCTTCCAGGTCTCTTTTGCAGCTGTTTACCAAGCTAGAATGTAACGTTTTACACTGCAAAGCTTTAAGAGCTGCCTGACTATCAACATAAATCGTCACTTCCGACCCCCTGGTAATGTGTGTCTTAATAATATCCACGGATTTCCATATAGCCAGGATTTCCGCTTGAAAAACGCTACATTCGTCCGGAAGTCTGTAGGACACTCTTATATTGTTGTCTACCAAATAAACCCCGGCACCTGTGCCAGAGTCCATCTTGGATCCGTCAGTGAAAACTGCACACCCCTCAAACAGTACTTCGGATCCTTCCCACTCATCCCTACTAGGAATCACTATTGAGGGTGTTACTCCGAAGTCCAGGGTCGTAACCAAATGATCAGAAATACCCTCCGTACTTCCCTCAATTCCTGTTAGACCTACCTCGTACAGTATTCTAGTGTGGCCTACCCGCTTTGGTCTTACTAGAGCTGATTCAAACAGTCTGAATAAGTTCCTAGCCGCTACACTCTCAACATATTTCTCAATTGGGAGCAGATTTAGAATAATATCCAATGCTGCTTGCGGTGTACTGCCCCTGGCACCTGTTATGCCGATAGAAGCACACCTTTGAGCCTTACTGAGTATTAATCTATAGCTGCATTTCCTCATTCCTACCCACCACACAGTACAACCATAGGTAATGATGGGCCTTACTACCGACGTGTAAATCCAATTTACCATGTCTGGTCGCAAACCCCAATTCTTACCAATAGAGTTTCTGCACGTGTAATAGGCATTGAGCCCCTTTTTAAGCCGTTCCTGTATATTCTTCTTCCAAGACAATTTTTGGTCGAGGAAGGTCCCTAGATACTTGGCTCCATCCGATAATTTCAGTTCAACGCCGTCTAATCTCGGCAAGCTAAAACTCTCAACTTTATATTTCCTAGTGAAAAGTACTAGCTCCGTCTTAGATGGATTCACACCCAACCCATTCCTGTTTGCCCAGGTTGATAGATCACTTAGTGCTGACTGCATGACCTCACTGATTGTCGGGAGAAATTTACCTTTGACCAGTAGCACCACGTCATCCGCATAAGCGACTATCTTCCTACCTTTAGATTCAAAGATCCTTAGG